ACTCCCAGCCTCCTGCCACTCACCCCGAGCACCCATAGACTCCCAGCGAGGAGCACCCGGGAGGTTCCTGATCAGCTCGGCCCCTAGTGCAGCGAGGAGCAGGGCCCAGGTGGGGACAGACCTTGGTGGCCACCAGCGGATGGTGCGTCTCGCCCCAGGCGTCCCCACCGTGGGCCTGGAGGGTCCCAGTGACACCAGCCTGGGTACCCTCGGTGCCTTCACTGTCCCCACAAGATCCACTCAAGTGCCCTTGCCCATTGTACTTCAGGGGCACCTGACCAAAGTCTCATTAAGTTACGGAGAAAGGGGCGCTGGCCTCGCCGCCACCCAGCCCCAGAGCCAGCGTCCCTGGGCACCTGGACTCCCCCCAGCATCTCCAGCTTCACATCCCCAGTGGAGTGAAGCCACCCAGCACCACAGCTGGGCCCCCAGGCCTGTGAAGGTCATCCTCAAGCCACTTGCTGGGACCCTCTTCCCCTGGCATCTGCTCCCCTCCCTGTCCCAGGCTAGGCGGAGGTGGCCACGCACTCTGAGATCCCATCTGGGACTGGTTACAGGTCTGAGCAACTGTCACGGTGTTCCCAGAACATGGCCCTAGGTCCCCGCTGAACCTGGTCCGTGCTTGTGTCCATGTGGCCCCGTGTGCACACCTGCCGTGTGTTTCCGTGTCTGTGTGTGACAGCTGCTACCTGGAGAGCTCGCCCCACACAGCCCGCACGCCTCCCTCACATTGATAAGGAGACACAGCCAACGGCTGAGTGGACGCATGAGCCCAGAACCGAAACCAGCAGGTGCCACGTTACCAGAATCGGGCCTCAGCCCGAGGATGCCCACCTGAAGGAGGCTGGCGCTTGGCGCTGCACCCCCAGGGGGTCCCAGCCTTCCCCGGCCTTCCTCCGCCCTTCCGTCCCTGTCCCCACCACTCCCCGCAGGGCCCAGGGCTGGTAGCCCTGCTTGTCAGGTGGCCAGGCAGTCCCAGCCAGTCACGGGACCTCTGAGGTGTCTGCTCCCGCTCAGTGTGTCCCAGCAGGCTGGCGGAGACAAGGACACAGGTCCCTGCTTTTTATGCCACACAACAATAAAAGCCTGAGGCCCAGGTCCCACCTCAGACTGCAAGACAGCCAGCGCCTGGTGACGATCAGCCTGCGGGCAACTTCACTTCACCGTCACACAGGGACACAGACACCTGGGGACCCAGCTGTTGATCCCTGGAAGGGGGGGCAGCAGAGCCCACAGGCTCCTCTTGCCCTGATGCCAGGCTCCCGGGCCAGCCCTCGACCACCGCAGGCCGAGCAGAACAAAGCCTGCTGCTCACCAGCCGGCTCCAGCATCTGCCTGGTGTCCTACAAAGCTGCTGGAGGAAAAGCCAAGGACGGGAGGAGGAATGGGACCTTGAGTTGGGACGGGGGCCCTTCCGCCAGTGGCCTGGTTTGACACTGGCTCTGAGCACTAACCCAGTGCTGAGTTCCTGATCGGGGAAAGTCGGCCCTGGGCCACCTGCCAGACCTTCCACCCACCGAGGGCCAGCTACTGTCCTCCAGAGGGCCAGCCGGGCAGCCGCGTAGGCTGGAGGAACCTCTTGCCCCAGCCTGTCCACCCATGGGGCCACTTGTCCTCAAAGTGGTGTTTAAGGGCACAGTGCTGAATCAGAAGCACTCCTGTCCCTGGGTTGACAGCCTCCCAGAGTGCAGGGTGCCCCGTGGAGCGGGCAGCAGCCAGGCCCATCTCTGCCATGGAAGCCACAGTTCGCCTAGCCAGGTGTTGGTGGGGAAAGTGTAGAGGTGCCGTCCACCCCTGACGGGACAGGCCCAGTTTCCCAAGGTGCTGCTCCACAGTTTCGAAAACTTAGATTGTACAAGGATATCCTTAAAAACGAGGGTGTTGCAGAATCCAGTTCTGTGAGGTGGGGTCTGGTGTTCTGCAGCCCAGGGGCCGCTCTGCTGCCCGGTTAACATGTTTCCTAACACAAGAAAGGGCAGTGCGGGGGGCTGGACACGTTCACGGCCTGAGCTCACCACCACACGACATGTCCGTGTATCAGATCAGCCAGTACGCACTGTATCGCTGGTCAGTCACCGCACCTCTCCTGCCAGCCCCTGTGGGTCCCCCAGGTGCGGGAGCAAAGCCAGCTGACGCTCGCTCCGGTTCTGTCCAGCTCAGGGGACCTTACGCTTCCTGCCTGGGTTTGACCAAGGCCCCTGTTTATCCCAAATACAGATGTTCTCAGCTTCCTGTGGGCCCTAGTTTGGGATTCCGGGATTCAGTGAGTCAGGCTGTCCCTTTTGTTTTTGTGGACTTGAGACCTGACCCCAGAGGTCCCTCCACCAGCCCGGCTGTGGCCCGCCTTCTCAGTCCCCCCAGCTGCCCGGCTTCTGGCATGCCCAACCCCATTTCCTTGGCTCATGTGGAGCCCCTGCTAAGCACAGGCACCAGGGTCAGCGGGGACTGGTCCCACAAGTGAGCAGGGTCACTGAGGTCCCTCAGACCTGTGCAGTCACAGACCACTGCAAAGGAGACCTGCAGGGGCTTCATCCGCCAGCACAGCTCAGCTGTGGAAGGTTCCAGAGGCGCCCAGTGGAGGCATCACTGGAGTGAGAGCCAAAGACTGACCAGGCCAGGGATCCGTGAGAAAGGCAGCCCAGGGTCTCTCACAGGTCCACCAGGGCCCCAAGCCCTCCATCTTGCTGGCCACCAGGGAACCCTTCTCCCGTCTCTCGGGCCTCCCTGTCGGGTTGCCTCCCCAGGACAGGCCGTGAGTGGTCTCTGAGAGGCATTCCTGTGGCTGCCAGGCCCAAGGCTGGTGGCCCTGCCGTGACTTCAGCACCTGCAGGCCTAGCCCAGTAGGGCCCTGGCCAGAGCTGGAAAGGGTGCCCTGGTCACCAGGGGCTCCCTCAGTGTTGACAGCAGCGGCTTCTGGGTCCCTCCCCAAGCCCGAGACAGCTGCAGATGCCCTGGAGAGCTCAAGTCAGAGGCCCAGCTGAAGTCCCTGACACCCTGGACCCAACCAGAGGGGTTTTCCCTTCACTGTGGGGTGTTTTGCCTATCAAAGCCGTGCCCGGGGGACCTGAATGGCCAGCGTGATACCCCTGCACCAGTCAGTTCTCGCCCACTGCCATTTGTTTATTAATGCGCCAGTGTTGCCCAAGCTGACCTCCAACTCCTGGGCTCGAGCAATCCTCCTGCCTCAGCCTCCCAAGTACCAGGACTAGGGGCACCCAGCTCACGGGCCTCTAAAGAAAGTGCTGTGGACCCTGCGTGCCTCTTGGGGAATGCGGGGGGGACACCTTGGGCTGCAGTGTCCGGGGCCCAGGCGTCTGTGGGCTGAGGAAGCTCAGCGTGATCCCTGGTGAGAAAGCGACAGGGTTGGAACCGCGTCCTTCCCCTCAGCAGCTGATGCTTCTGAGAAGCTGAAACTGCAGAAAACGCCAGGCGGGGGAGGGGGTAGGCCCGGCTTCAGACCCCAGCGCAGGCCACGAGGAAAACCTCACCTCCCAGGTCCCCGCACACCCGCACAGTGACCCGCAAGCCCGGGCCTGCGTGCACACCAGCTGCACACGCACACACAGCCACCACAGTCGCGCACACACTCCCTTCATGGAATTCTGACAAACCCCCTGTCCTCATGACCAGGCACGGTGGCGCAGGCCTGTAATCCCAGTGACTTGGGAGGCTGAGACAGGAGGATCTCAAGTTCAAGGCCAGCCTCAGCAACTTAGCAAGACCTTGTCTAAAAAAAGAGATGGGGGGTGGCTAAGAATGTAGCTCAGAGTGCCCTTGGTCTCAATCCCTAGTACCAACAAAAAAGAAAAGAAGAAAACCGTCCCCTCGGATGAGCGCTCTGTGACCTGCCCTGGGTTCCTTAAACAGCCAGTCGCACCTCTGTCTCCGCAGTTGCAGGCTTCACACGGGTTCCAGATGGGCTACTTTGCAGAGGACAGAAAATTGTTTGTTAGAAAGTTATGTCAGAATGCAGGTCAGCCTGTCCTTTGAATGTTCATTTTAGAGCCATTTAGGCTGTGAACTGAGGCTACCTTTGACCCTCCCCAGGGTCGCACAGGGAGGAGGAAGAAGGGCAGGGTGCGGTGGCACATGCCTGGAAACAGGAGGATCACAAATTCAGAGGCAGCCTCAGCAATTTAGGCCCCAAGCAAGTCATTGAGACCCTGTCTTATATAAAAGATGAGCAGGGCTGGGGATGAGGCTCGGTGGTTAAGCCGGGACCCCGTGGTCCCTCCCCTCCCTCGCCTGCTCCCCGCACCCCTGGTCTGGGCACGCCATCTTCAGCCGCACACCCTCATTTCAGGAGCTGGGAGCAGACACCCCAAGACTGGGCTGCACGTCTCTGTACTCAGCCCTCGAGTCCCGAGCCAGACCCCGAGGAGGAGGCGTGACCTGTCCCTGCCTCTCCCTGGCACTTGTTTTTAATGTGGTAAAATCCATGTCACAAACCTGCCACCTTCCGCCCTGCGGTGCCCGAGCGCATGAGTGCGTTCGCCTGTGTTCTGTGGCATGACGTTGGCCTTTGCTCTTGTCCCGAGTTTGTCTCTAAGTTGTGACCCCCTTGGCCGTGAGATGCTCCTGACACTTCTGTTCCACCCATGAGCGCCCACCCTGGCCACCCACTGTCCCTGCAGAGGTTCGGGTCTTCTAAGGCCAGTCACCGTGGGTGGGGGAGAGTGTTGCCCCGACACTCGGGCCGGAATCTGCTGGGTTCACTTAGCTGCTCTGGCCCGGTCCCCAGCACACCCCCCCCCCCCCCCCCCCCCCCGCCTGTTGTTTGCCAAAAAAGGAGGGGCAGTTTTGCTTTCTGTCCCTGAGGTTTCTGACCGAGTCTGGAAGTTGCTAATGACCCGTCTTTCCTTCCCCACAGGGCCAAACCGCCCCCATCCCTCACCCTACTAAGGCGCACGAGTGCGTGGTTTGGTTCCTGGCTCTCCCGACCGGCCGACCCCGAGGGGTGGCGGGCGTCTTGTGTGCCCGGGGCTGGGCCCACGCGTCCGCTGCCAGGAGCCACACCGGCAAGGCCCTGGCCCCACTCTCGTCGATGCTTCGCGTCCGTCGCTGCTGTGTGTCCCTCTCTGCACGTCCCCTTGCTGCTCCATTGTCGAAGGCTTTCTATGATCTGTCCCTGTGTTTCCCTCTAGTCAGGAGTGGCAGGAAAGGACGCCGGCGAGTGTTCAGCCTGTCGGAGGCCGACAGTCACGGCGGCCACTGGGTTTAGTGCTGGGAACTGCGGCTGCCAGGACACCTCGCGCACTGTCACCTCAGGCAGGTCTCCTCCGGCAGCCCCACGGGCCCCGTGTCCCCGCCCCACGGCCTTGCGGGTCAGGGTCTGTGGGAGTCAGGGCCAGGCTGGCCAGGGAGAAGCCGCGTGAGCGGCCTGTCCTCGCCTCCCCAGGCCGCTGCTCCGTCCCCCACTGTCCCCACCCTGCAGTCCTCCCGGCACCAGGCCAGCCCAGGGCCTGGGGCAGCCCTGTGGGTCCCTGCAGCCAGGCCTGGGGCGTGGGTGGCAGTTGCCTGAGAGGCACAACTTGATGGAGCACTGAGAGCCGCCTGATCTCTCTCCCCTGGCCCTGCCGAAGCCCCGGCACCTTCCGTCCCCTTGCAGCCAGAGGCCCCGAGTCAGCTCCCTCATAAACACAGGACAAGCAGGAGTCCCCTCACGCTGAATGCCACCGGGCGAGGGTGGTCTGAGGGCCAGGCCACGGCGGCCGCCCGCCCGGGACGCTGCCCCTGGTGGCTGGCCTGTCCCTCGGGCAGTCTTGCTTGCTGTCCTCTTTTGTTTCCGCTGCTTGAGCTGCGCCTCTGGCTGCTGTGCTGCCCTCCTGTCGCCGCCCGCCTCTCCCAGCCGAGCTCCAAGTTGAGATCTGTGCTGAAACATGGCCACCCGCCGGCAAGGGTCAGCCGAGGCCCCGCCCCACAGCTGCAGACCAGCCTCGGGGGTGCTGTCCTCATGGGCCAGAGTCCTGGGAGGACCCCTGCTGGGTCCTCCTCCAGCTGTGGCTGTGTCCCCAGCCACGGGCAGGAGTCAGACTCCCTCCAGTCCCTCACACCCTGGGCCCAACGGCTGGCCTTGGGGCTCGAAAACACCAGGAGCCCAGCTACGCCCAGGGGTCAGTGATAACCCTGCAGCCAAGACTGGACCAGAACACGGTCCTTGCTGGGCTTCGCGGGCAGACCCGGCTGCCGCCCTGCTCCCCCTCGGCTGCACGGACTTGTAGGGGCCCTGCAGGAAGCCACTCTTAGGGGCTGAAAGGAGAGGCGCGAGGCTCGGGAGGGAGGGAGAAGGGGTCAGTGAGGAGGGTCTCGGGGTCAACCCACCACTTACAGGAGCGGGGGGTTCTTCCCCTACAGAGTCCAGTTGGCATGTGCTGCTGCTTGTTGGCGGGTCTGCTTTTTGAATGGGGCTCACTGTGCTCTCCCCAGAAGCCCCACCGGGGACCAGGGACCAGGGTTGTCACCTGCAGACCTAGGCTTCAGCCAAGAGGGAGCTCTTGCGTGGAAGCTTCGAGAACAGCCAAGGGAACGGGTCGCCTCTGTCCCCGAGGCAGGACAGGGCCCCTGGAGAACTGGTCCTTTCTAAAGTGCCTGTCCGCTGCTGGACTCGGGCCTGACTTCCTGGAGAGGCTCTGGCCATCTGAAGCCTGTGGAGGCCACCAGAGCCCAGGACCCCGCCCACTCACAGAGCCACACCTTCTGGTGCGTGGAGAGGGTCGTGCTAGGGGCGGCCAGTGGCCCGGCTCCTCGGGTGTCCTTCCCGGTGGAGCGAGTCAGAGTTGGCGAGTAGCGGGAACTCCTGCTCTGCAGGGCTCACGCTGTCCCCCGTGCCGACTGGTGCCAGCTGCCACCTCCCGAGCGAGGACAGGCCCAGGTCCCAGGCAGCGGTTTTCCTGGACCTTCTGTTTCTCTCTCCCCGGATGGCTGGGGCCGCAGCTTGGGGGCAGAGCACAGAGCACGTGCCCAGCATGCACCCGGCCCTGGGTTCCGTCCCCAGCACCACCCCAGAGAGCGGGGTGGGGGGCCTTGGGGAGAAGTGACCCTGCCCCGGCCTCCAGGACTCTCCCTCCCACCCCCGCTGTGTGATCTCATTTCGCTCTTTGTCTTTCCATTCTCTTGCTCTGTGTTCAGTTGGCCTTTCTGTTTTATCTTGGCTTAAAAGAGAAAAGAAAACCTAATTGAACTGGAATCACATTGAACCCAAACCGTGGTCCACCTCCCCAGGACCTGGGCGCTGCCACGCGGTGCCCCTCGGCCCTCAGCCTGTGCTCTGCTGACCCCAGATCTGTACGAATAAGGATCTGCCACCCAAGAGGGATGCCCACGGCCCTCCCGCGGAGCCTCTCGGTGCGCGGCCTCTACCTCCCTCCGCCGTGAAGCCCCTGGCTCCTCGTGCCCTCCCAGGCCAGCACATCAGTGGAGAGCAGACAGGCCGTCACCTGTCCCGGTCTATTTGAGGATTTTAAAAAACACCAAAAATGGGGAATGCCACTCTGGAAACACCTGCCCCGGGCAAAGCCTCCTGCTCTCCCTGCAGCCCCCGTGGGTAAGCTCCGAGGGCGCGGCCTGGGCGGGCCTCTGACGGGGCCAGCTCTGCCCCGCGGAGGAGGCGCACCACCTGCAGGGTTTTGTAAGCTAAAAAAAAGTTTTAAATACTGCAGTGGGCTCCTTCTTGGGTGACTGTCCCCATGCTAGACTCTGGAATGGCCTGAAGTTCTGGGCACGCTGAGCGCAGTGACTTCCCAGTCTTGTTTCTGTCATCAGGCGGGTGGCCCATGGCGTCCGGCACAGCCAGCCCAGGCCAGGTCTGTGTTGGACGTGCGTTCACAGGCCACGGGCCAATTGTGCCCACGCCCCAGGTTTTCGTCAGTCAGGGTGACCCTGGGCCCTGAAACGCTTTCCCCAGGCCCAAGTAAGACTGGCCTTAGTAGCTTCTGTGTCCCCAGAAGGAGTAAGTGGGGCCAGGCCCCGCCCCAGCACCGGCCGTGTCCCACACGTCCCTGGGCCTTGGTTCAGGCGGGAGCAGAGCGCTGGCCGAGGCCCAGCACACAAAGCTGAGTGTGTCCCTGTCGCTTGCTTCCCCACGCAGATGTCCCCACCACTCCAGAGCAGCCTCCGCCTCCGCCTCACCTTCCCGACCAGCTGGTGACCGGCAGGGAAGCAGAAGCAGACGCCAGGCCCAGCAGGAGCCTGGCCCGGGGCCCAGAGCTGGAGACCGCACACCTGTCCCCCAGCCTGCTGCCCGCCCAGCAGCCCACCATCTCCCTGCTCTACGAGGACACTGCTGACGCACTGAGCGTCGAGGCCCCGACTTTGGTCCCACCTGTTGACCCCCACAGCCTCCGTGCCCTTACTGGCATGCCCCAGCCTCCCACGCCAGCCACCACGGGCACCGAGAGCCCCGACGAGGAGGCTGCGTGGGCAGAGCCCGCGGGCCCCGCCGAGCACTGAGTGGGCGCCCGGGGCCTCCCCTGTGCGTGCGGCCCGCTGGTAGGGACCCCAGTGCAGTGACGGCCAGACCTCGGGAGCACCCACAGTTCTGCGCGCCCCGGTACCGCTCTGCCCCCACCCCAAGACTACTGCACTCCACCTGCCGCCGCCCTCACTCGGACCTCCACGGAGACCCGTGCACACAGAGCATGAGGCCACCTCAGAGAGGCAGGAGGCGTAGTGGGCCCGGGCAGGAGCCACCAGCACCCTCTCCCTCGGTGGCTCCTCTGTCGCCCTCCCTGCCGTGCACAGAAGAACCAGACAGGGTCACTGTGGGTACAAGTTTGTAGCAGAGCGAACTCAGATTCTCCTTCGGCTACTTATTCCTGCGTTTGGCAGCAGATGAAAAACATTTACTTAAAAGGCATCTCTCTGGGGAAAAAGGTCCAAAAACATCCACGACTCCAAGGCCGGGTGTCCCGTACCAGGGTAAGGGTGGTGTTTAGGTGGTTTGTCTCCCTCAGTTTCTCCGTGTTCGGTTGTAGACTCTTAGTGTCGCTGACTCCGTTTTCTTAATGATCCTTATTTCTCTCTTACCGACTCTGCAAGCCTTGGAATGGTAAAGTACCTACCTGAAAAGTTTAGTTTATTTCTAAATAAAACCGAGGGAGTTTCGTGGACTCTCGGGCCGTGTGGAGTGAGAGGGCGGCGGCTGCTCTGGCCTCAGCGGGGTCTATCCATGCAGGGGCCGGGCCGGCCGCTTCCCCAGAACGCACCCTCCAGCACCTCGCAGGGACAGGTCTCCAGCCCCAGCCTCCATGGCCCCCTCCCGTTTACCTGTGAAGGAGCCACTGGGGACTGCCAAGACCCCAGACCCAGCGGCGTGACGGGAACAAGACCGGAAGCGTCTCCGTGTCGCCTGCACCCCACTCCATGTGCACGGTCCAGAGAAGGCGCCGGCTCAGGCAAGGGTCCCAAGAGCCGGCCTGCTGCTGCCTCTGCTGCTGCTGCTGCTGCCGCCCTGACTCGGGGGGTCCCTTCCCCGGCTGGCATGTGACCCTGCCCCTCCAAGGCTCTGCTTCTCGGCGAGCTTAGCCACCAGGCACGGGGACCCTGGCCGCTGCTCATGGTGGGTCTGGTGCAGCTTTCCTGCAGATGTGTCCACCAGAGAACCAACAGCAGGTGTCATGTCCACCCGGCCTGGCTGTTTGGGTGGCCTCAGGAGATGTGCCGGGAGCTGACCACCGACTTACCACAGGGAAGTGGCCTGGCCATCTCCGCCAGGCGGCCTTCCCTAGGGCCTCCAAGGTCAGATCTCGGCCTCTGAGTAAACCCAGTGATCACACCGGCCAGGGGAGGGCACCGGTGGGGTGGCCTGCAGGCACCCGAAGCCCCCGCTGGGTGTCCTGCCCGGCCTTCTCCACCCCGGGCAGGAGGACTGTCTGTCCACAGAGAAGACCTGGCTCGGAAGGGAGGCCATCGAGGCAGAAGGTCCAAGAAGGACCAGCCATGACCTCGCAGTGCTTCCTGGGAAAGGAAGGGGGATTCGGGAGAGGGGGAGGGCCATGGGCGAGGCAGGTGCCCGTGCCCCAGCAGCCAGCCGCCTTGTGCTTGGTGCCCCGGGGTGGACACGGCGCAGGCTGGCCCTGGCTGGCCCTGGCTGAGCAGCTCGTCCGAGCTGTGCGCTTCTGAAGCGACTGTCTCTGGGCCAAAGGAATGAGAGGGCCAGCAGCTCCCGCCCACAGAGCCTGTGAGGACAAGGGTGGCTCCCTGGTGATGCTCATGCAGGTGGCCCCAGCCTGCAGGACCACCACCTGCTGCCTGCACTCAGGCCCTCGGCCAGCTCCCGACGGCCAGCCCTGAGGAGAAAGGACCAGGCCTTGGTAGAAGGCGCCAGTCGGGCCAGGGCTGCTGCCTCTGTCCCTGGCGAAGGACAGGCCTGCCCCGGCCATGCTTGCGAGGTCATCCCCAGGAGCTGGCCTCAGTGAGACCTCCCGGTGAGCAGGGTGGGCACTTCCTTGAGAGGAACACTGTCCTCACTGCAGAGCTGGGGGGCTGGAGGAGGCGGCTGGCCCTCGGGCTCTGAGAAAGGACCCGCCTTTCCCAGGCCCGTCATCTTGGCAGCACGGATGGCGGTGTCCTGGGGAGCACCTGCCTCCCCGACCGCGGGCCCTCCAGGCAGACCCGTCCAGACAGAGCACAGGGTCTCCGGTGTCCGGCAGAGGTCTGAGCCTCAGCTGAGGCCACACGTTGGCCTACAGGTCTGGACAGACTGCGGGGACAGCCTCCAGAAGCCCACTAGACTCAGGACCCCTGGCAGCACGTGGCCTGCCCTGGGGTCCTCCCCAAGTCCACCGTGAGGCCATTGGGTTGGCCTTGCAGGTTGGCCACTCCCCAGCAAGTCAGCAAGGGTGGCCCCAGCAGAGGGGCTGGAGGAGGGTCCTCTCTCCCGTCCTGTGCTGGCCGCTCTCCCTGTGCAGAAGGCAGCTCCCCCGACACCTGTGGCTCCCGGTGCTCGGGCGGGGGTCGGACACCACGTCTGGCCCGTGGTCTCTGGGATGCACTGTTTTTAAAAGGCACCGACCGGACCTACTTCTCCAGATGCGATAAATAGGAACTATCTAATGTAGTCACGTTGACCTTGGGCACCAACTGTGAGTCCCTTGGGTGGAAAACAGGTCAACAGGGCGGAGTGGGGGCGGAGCAGGGCTTGGGAAACCTCGTGCGCTGGCCACTCCCGGGAAGTACCTGCCTTTGCAGGGTCACTCAGGCTTCGTGGGTACTAACACGAGGTGGAAGTGGAAACTGGAGCTAAGGGTCAGCCAGAGTGCGGCCTGCTGCTCCCGGCCAGCCGTGGAGGGAGGCTGGGGCCTGGCCTCTGACCCCTCTTCCTGCCGCGGCTGCTCTGTGGGATGCCATGGCCAAAACCCCTCCCTGCCCTCCCCAGCTGCCCCCCCCCCCAGGTTAACAAGAGTTTGGGGGACCAAGTCCTGCTCCAAGGCCGGGGACCACTCAGGACAGTGGCTCATGGAGGACAGGCCCCTCACCTGTTGGCAGGGGGCTCCCCCATCCGAGCCCCGGATGCTCCACGTGGAATGGGACGTCACAGCCCTGTCTCACAGGGTGGGACGGGAGTGGCCGCGTGGTGGCTGCCCTGTGTGCTGGGTCGAGGGGAGCATGGCGGGCTCTCCACCAGGACGGAAGCGCTGGGGTGGGGCGGTCCAGGACCCGCCACACGGACCAGTACAGTATGCGCCCGGGGTTCCCTGGAAATGGACCCGAGTCTCAAGAACTTCAGGGTCCAGCTTAAGCCTGGCCCAGAAATGGCTGGGACTTCTGGGTCTGGAGAGCGAACCCTAAAGAAGCCGCAGGCACCTGGCCATGCGGGGGCTGAGACGCGCTGGAGAAGGGGCCACACCAGGTGGGCGCCCTCCTGGCCCGGCCTCCGCTGGCAGCCAGCTCGGCCCTTCCCTAGAGCCGAGGACTGCCTGGAATCAGTCCCTGGAGGTCTGACCACGAGGCCGGGCCTGAGAGGCTCAGGGGTCCCTTCGGCTGGAGTTGGAGCGGGCCGTGCACTGCAGGGGTGGCCACTGCCCACCCGCAGCCCCTTCACCCCCACGGGGCCGAGTTGGGCGCATGGGCATTCACAAGCCTTGGAGACTTCAGGATAGAAAAAGGAACCTGCTAGCAGGGTGCCCAGAGGGCCTGGGGTGGGCAGCACCCAGGGGCCCCGCTACCCCCCGACTATCCCAGGGTGCCCAGCCACGGGCTAGGCATGGCGGTGGCGGCCAGAGTGGGGGGCAGGAGGCGGCCGTCTCCTCCCCCAGGCCTTCTGTGACAGCCTCCCCTGCAGGCAGTGGGGAGGCCCTCCCAGGACCCCCTGCCGTGCTCCGAACCCCCCGATTGCCCCTGGGCCGTGACGGGAAGGAGGTGAAGCAGCACTTCACAGATGCACCTGGGTGCTGGAATCATCTGGAACTGCAGCCCCGGGGTCACCGCGACCCTGTGACAGTCCTCCCGAGGGCCCTCCGCACCGCCTGGGCCGGGCAGTGCTTAGTAAGAGCACTTCTTAGGAAGGCCTGTCCTCGGGGGAGGCGGTCGGAGCCCGTGTGCCTGGTTTGAACTCCCGCCATGCCCCTGGCCAGCGTGTGGCCTTGGCCAGGTCCCCTGTCTGTGAAGGGGGGACAGAGCGTCCAGCCCAGGCTTGAGGCGGTTCTGAGGACTTGGGAACAGGTGGCCTGCGCAGCCCTTGGCCTGAGACCTGCCTCCCCGAGTGCCACGGTCTGGGTCCCAGGTGGCCCTGAAGGTCCAAGCTCCAGGCCTGGTCCCCACTGGGGGCTCTCAGGAGTGGTGGACACTAAGAGGGGAGGCCTCGGGGAGTCTCCAGGAAGGAGGTGAGTGTGCACTCGCCCGTGGACGGCCACCTTGCCTCTCGAGTTCTCCAAGTCCCCTGGAGATGCGGTGACGCTCCAGTGTGGGACACTGACAGGTTGGACGCCACCTGCCCTCCCCTGCCCTGCCTCCCAGCGCTGGAGAGGCCGGGCAGGACCAGCTGCCGGCTCTGCTTCTGCAGGGTCTGGGGAGGCACCAGGAGTGGGGGCCTGGCGGGGTCTGGGTCCTGGGGACCGCCGCGGGAGGGGCAGGGGAGGGCAGGTGGCAGTGACCTTCCCGCCAGCAGCCTGGGTCCCGCACACGCGGAGGGGAAGGCTGTTTCCCGCCAGCCGAGTCCTGGAAACCCCCTCCCTGCGGTCGGTCCTGCTTCTCGGTGGCACTGCAGGGCGATGGGAAAACCCTGGAGGTCCGCAGCGCTTGTCCCTGGAGGAAGGTTGGTCCTGAGTCACTGGACGCCTGGGCTTCCCGGGAATTCACTCGAGGGAGTGCCGTGCCAGGCGAGGGCGGGTCCCCTGCTTCCAGCGTGCCAGGGGCGTGGCTCTGCCTGCTCACCGCTCCAGCGCCCCGGGCCACCGCCGCTCCCTGCTTGGGCCCCTGGGCACCAGGCGCCCGCCCGCCCGCCCCAGCCGCTGCCAGCCCAGCCTGTGCCCCCACCCGCTGAGCTCTCCGGCCACGCACCTGCCACCTGAGCCTCACCTCCTGGTGCTGATGGCGGCCTCTTAAATCCAGCTCGCCCAACAGGGAACTTCGCTGCCGGGAACAGAAACCCGTCCGCAGCTGCCCCCGTCCCGGGCTGCCCCTGTCCCGGGCTGCCCCTGTCCCGGGCTGCCCCTGTCCCGGGCTGCCCCTGTCCCGGGCTGCCCTAGAGCGAGCACCAGCGCGGTGGCTCCAGGTGACAGGAACTTGCTCTCTCGGCGCTGGGGCCAGAAGTGCAGGCTCGAGGTCGGCAGGGCCACCCTCTGCAGGCTGCGGGGACCCGTGCCTGGCCTCTCAGCCCCGGTGGCTCTGGTCACCCCGGGCGTCCCCGCGGGTGAGTCACTCCCCCGTCTCTGCTGGCGCCGCCTCCTGGCTCGCCCCCTCGACCATCTCTGAGGACCCCGGCATCGGACCTAGGCCCACCCTGATCCAGGTGACCTCACCGCAAGCTCCTTGACCTAGTGACAGCTGTAAATAAAGGCACACTCACGGCACCAGGGCTTAGGTGGACGCCCCTTTTAGGAGGCTCACCGTTCGACCGTTACACTTGTCAGGAATCGAAGGTGCCCTGTCCCCAGGAGTAAGTTCTGGC